GTGGGGGGTCCACCTAAGGTCTCTCTAAACGTGACTGTTACTTTTGTTTCTCTTACTGGTATAGTGGCTGCTGTGACAACTGTACTTAATCATGCCGATAACACTTGTCCTAGCAATCTTGCAAACGATAAAGCTACTACTGCATTAACCTTCAGGGTCCAGGCTTTGGGAGCGTCGTCGTACCAGGTTCCGCAACAGTCTTCTTTTGCCTTATGAGCCCTCAACTCTTGAACTGCATCACAGTTGATACTAGAAATCCCGCATAAGAATATTGGTACTGCAGCATACCAGGGTCATGAAGAACACTATATCAACAATATGAAGCCGTGCATCGCGTAGCCACAGACTTGAGGCAAGCCTCTCGACACTCCTACTACTCGAGCGCTTCCACGCACTTGTCATGTTGATTTCCATTTGATTCTCTATTGGCGTAAACCCTCAAGCCCAACCCTAAACCCGAAAGTAAACCCTGAACCTCCAAATAAACTCTAATTTGTACACCCCTAAACCCCAGGCTTTGGGCTTCAAGCCCGGGGGTTCGGAGTTTAAGGTTTGGGGTTTCTGCAGTTCGGAATATATGGCTTGGGGTTCAAAGTTCAAAGGCTTTGGTCTTCAAATTCGCGGTTTCTACAGGAGCACCCTGCTGCCTTCAAGGGGCCCAAATACTTGTCAGCATCAACGTTGCTGAGGTCTTGCCGAGGTGGCCTATAATGTAATGTTTCAAGGAACCTAGAAGCAACATATGGGGGAGTTTGTAGGCATCACTTCTGATATTCTGAGAGCATCTCAGCATATCATAAGTGCCTACAAACTCACCCATATGTTGCTTCTTGTCATTACACGACCCTGAACCTTGAACCCGCATCGTGGCCCGTCAAGACTTCCAGGCCACTTAGCATGCGGACACGCCCAGGACCCTCAACCTCCAACCCCAAACCCTAGACCCTGAACCCTAAACTCGACAAGACACCAAGGAATCCAGCTGCAGGCGGCGCCACAGGGAATCCTGGATGCTAGGAAGTATCTGGCAATGCCCCAAAAACGCCAGTACAAGGAAGGGACCTCCATCTATAACTTGGGATATAGTAGGGTAAGTATATAGATACAAGTCCTATAAACTGTTGTTATGGTTCTGAGACTCAAGAATCGTACGTGCGCTTATGTAACTAGAAGGTCTACCCCGCAAATGTGGTTTGTCAGGTGCGTTTGGACGCCCTCGGATGTATAGGATTCAGAAGGGATGAACTGTGGTCCCTCTCGCGGATAGTATACGGCCCCTACCCAGAGGGTCCAAGTACCCAATTAGGTGCTGGGGTTTTGGGCAATAGTACTTATAGTGTAGGTTTTGGGT